GTGTGTGTGTGTGTGTGTGTGTGTGTGTGTGTGTGTGTGTGTGTGTGAGATAACAGAAACAAACAAAAAAAGGTATACTTCCCATAAAAGATGTGCTTATTTCTTTCTGTATATTATACCTAATAAATATGGACCTTAGATAACACAGTGAATTAATGTAATGCAGAAATATAACTGCAATTTGGGAAAATCGATAGAGAAGTTATATTATTGTATTTATAGAACAATTCTGTTTTCAATATTTGTTTTTCATTCTCAAAATTATAAAGTGTTAAGGCTGCAAAAGACCATAGAGATCAGTTAGTCCTGTACCCTCACTGAGGAGCCTGAGCCCCAGGGAAGTAAAGGAATATGCCTGAAGTCGCAGAGTGAGTCAGCAGAGCCAGAATCAGAGCCCATCTCTCCTGATTTCCATGCTCATTACTCTTTCCACTACCTAATTTATTAATCTACAGTTTTTTAAGGAATTTGAATCTTATCAGAGATCTGCAGGTCTCTGAAGAAAGATTCTTCTGTCCTGTGTGCCACAGTTAAAGCACCATTATCTCACAAGAACCTGTGAAGTAGGTAGAGCTGATTTTATCAATCCCATGTTATTAGTGAGGAAATAGAATCTTTGATTTAGTAACTAAGTCACTAAAGTAATCTAGTTTGGCAGTACCAGAACTGGGGACTAGAACCCTGGATATCTGATGCCAAATCTACTCTTCTTCCCACTGTATCTGGCCCCTTCCTACCTTTCCAGTTCTCTTACACCTTCAGTGATACTAGACTCTTTGCTCTTTCTCAAACACAATACTTTATGTCCTGATTCCATGCATTTTCAGTGGCTGTCTCCCATGCCTGGAATTCTCTCCCTCTTTATCTCTGCCTCTTAATTTCACTGGTATCCTTCAAGTCCCAGATAAAATCCTACTTTCAGGAAGCCTTTCCTGATTCCCCCTTAATGCCAATGCCTTTCCTCTGTTGATTAGCTCCAGTTTATCCTCTTTATGTTTGTCTTATACGTAATTGTTTGCATATTGTCTCCTTAGTTAGACTGTCATCTTCTTGAGGGTAAGAACTGTTTTTTTTAATCATTCTTTGTATTCTCAGTGAGTATATAGTATCTGACACATGGTAGGCACTTAATAAATGGTTGTTGACTTACTATCCATGCTACCTTTATGCCTGCTCTTCTCATAGTATTGTCCAAAACATGGAGAATTTTGAGGCTCTCTACTTTAAAAACCAAGCAATTTCAACAGTTTGACCCATGCTGGCCTCTTCAGGCATGTTGAAAGAGACTCCTTCTTTAGGTTGAGTTTGGACTCGATTACTTCTGAGGTCCCTTGCAAATTATAGATTCTCTGAAATAAAGCACAATGTAAATGAAATTGATTTTGTTTTTTCGGCTACAATAAACATCATTATACATAGAAAACATTGAATTAATTCTAATGGAAAATTTCAAGGTTTTTAGCTGTGCCTTTCTCAAATATAATCTATCTTTCTGTTAGATTAAAGTTTAAAAAATATAGCAACTGGGGAAGTTAATAATTCTAGCTAGAACTATCTGACCTTGGTTCATGATGGACAGAAAAAAATTCTTTCCTTTATAATTTAACTATGTTTCATTCATAAACTGTAGCATAATGTTGTTTTCATTAAATGCTGTCTAACTGTAAAATTGCTTCTGTGAAAACTAGTAGCACTGACTAATGTAAAATACTGTTTACTTTAATTGGACAATTGAAAACAAGAGAGTTTTACATTAGAATGATCTGAATTTTATAGGAGACATTTTTTCATAAGAGCCTAGGGCCTAAAATTCGAAACAGTGAAATACAGTATGTTAGATTGTTTTAAGTGTTTTTTATTGCTAGTGATGTGTCTGTAAAATATTAAATGAGAGTGAACATCTTTACATTCTGTGTTTTAAAAATCTGTTTCCCATGACTTGATTTCTCTTCAGAGAAATATCTCATAAAGCATTTACTCTGCATTGTTAGACAGAAATGAAATATAAAAAAGCTTTCCTCAGCCATAATCAGTTTTTATTGGCAGGTAAATGGACAAGCTTTGTTTAGTTAAATAATCTAGAATCCTCTGTATAGAGCAATTCTGTTGTTTTCAGTTTCTTTTTCCTACTGTATTATTTATAGTAGCCTCAGGATACTGAAAACCACCCTACAGATTTTTTCTTAATACAATTTAGACATTTAAGATGTATGTGTTATCGGTGACTATGGTGCTAGGAGAGTACCTCTACAGTACTGGTATACTTCACTTTATACAATTGATAGTCTAACCGTGGGATTTTAGCATAAGTTGTAGGCATACATACTATTTACATTGGTCTTGTTTCTTGTTTTCAGTGTAACAAACAAGCTTTCTGTTGAAGCGTCCTGTGGTTGAAACTTTTTCAAAGTAAAGTGTATTTCCCTCATAAAGATCCAGGTTTTGTGTATCAGCATAACCTATAAAGCAAGTTAACCTGCTGCTAATTTGATGCTGTAATTAATTTGTGCAGTTAATGCTGTATTTGACACTCATGTTCAATACCATTCATTGAAAGGTATGACTAAAAATCAGTTAACTTATACCTGATATGAGATAGACTTTGAGTTATTCTGGACTTAATAGAAAATTTCCATTTTATCCCCCATAATATTCTTATTCTTTTTTTTTCAGGTCACTTTCCACATCGAACCATATAAAAATCGAGATGATCACAGTATGCACAAAAGTATCAAGTACATTATAGACAAGTGAGTTTCTTTAATGATTATTATTATTGTTTGCTCTTTTACCTTCCCTTATAACAAGCTAATATTACTTAATGATATTTGAAGTTATAGATGCAGAAAAACCTTTTGACAAAATACAACATCCATTCATATTAAAAGCACTAGAGAGCATAGGAATAAATGGAGTCTTCCTTCAAATGATAAGTAACATCTACCTAAAACCATCAGCAAGCATTATATGTAATGGGAATAAGCTAGAAGAATTTCCAAAAAGATCAGGGGTGAAATAAGGTTGTCCATTATCACCATTGTTATTCGACATGGTACTAGAAATGTTAACTTTAGCAATAAGAGAAGAAAAAGAAATTAAAGGTATTAGAATAGGCAAAGAAGAAACAAAGCTATCACTTTGCAGACGATATGATGATATACTTAGAGAATCCTAGAGAATCAAGTAAAAAACTACTTGAAATAATAACTTTAGCAAAGTTGCAGGATATAAAATAAACCCACATAAATCATTGGCATTTCTATATATCACTAACAAAGCCCAACAGCAAGAGATAGAAAGAGAAATTCCATTTAAAGTCACTATAGACATTATAAAATATTTAAGAATCTACCTGCTGAAAGAAACCCAGGAACTACATGTACACAAATACAAACCACTTTTCAGTGAGAGGCGGAGCCAAGATTGCAGAGGGAAAGCAGTGACTGTCTTGAGCTATCTCCCAAAGCCCTCCAAATACCTAAAGAAATGCCTCTAAACAAATTCTAAAGCAGCAGAACCCACAAAAAGACAGAGTGAAACAAATTTCCAGCCCAAGACAACCTGGATAGTTGATCAGAAAGGTATATCGCACCAGGCAAGGAGAGGAGCATGGGGCGGCGTGGGCTCACAGGCTGCAGCAAACCTGAAGTAGGCCTCAGAGGACTGAATCGTGGGCAGCTGTGACGGTTTCCAGACTTCTCAACCCCTGAATGCCAAAGACAACTCAGAAGGTCGGTGGGAAAAGTCTATGTCTGCGGTGAAAGAGAAGCTAGGTCTCAGTCACAAGTCTCAAGCGTGGCCTGGGGCCACCACTTTTTTCCTGAGCTTCTGGCCCACAGACTGAGAGGGAATCAAGTGGCTGATAAGAGGGGGATTGCAAGGATCTCTTTGCTAGTGCTGAGGCAGGAATCTCTTGCTTTACCCGTGCTTGGATCTGGGTCACAGTTCTGAGGGGCAGTCCTGGGGCGAGGAGGAATGCTGGCATGGTGGAGCTTGTGGCTGTGGAGAGAAAACACCTCGCCCTTTATCATAGCACCTTGGAAGAACTGAAAATTTACAGGTCTCTAGAAGTACCTCTGAAAACAGCTGTACAAACCCCCGAAGCTTGGGACACTACAGTCTTCACATTGGAAGCAGACTTTTACCTTAACAAAGAATTTAAAACTCAAGTAATTGGCCGGGATTATGAGTAAGCAGCGCAAAAAGAGCCAGACTATGTTATCTTACTTTGGTGACAAAGAAGATCAAAACATACAACCAGAAGAAGACAACAAAGCCAAAGCTCCTACATCCAAAGCCTCCAAGAAAAATATGAATCAGTCCCAGGCCTTGGAAGAGCTCAAAAGGGATTTTGAGAAGCAAGTAAGAGAAGTAGAGGAAAAACTGAGAGTGATGCAAAAAAATCATGAAAAACAAGTCAACAGCTTGCTAAAGGAGACCCAAAAAAATACTGAAGAAAATAACACCTTAAAAAATAGCCTAACCCAAATGGCAAAAGAGGTCCAAAAAGCCAATGAGGAGAAGAATGCCCTAAAAAGCAAAATTGGCCAAATGGAAAAGGAAGTCCAAAAGCTTACTGAAGAAGATACTTCCTTAAAAGTTAGAATAGAGCAATTGGAAGCTAGTGACTTTATGAGAAATCAAGACACTGTAAAACAAATCCAAAAGAATGAAAAATTAGAAAAGAATGTGAAATATCTCATTGGAAAAACAACTGACCTGGAAAATAGATCCAGGAGAGAGAATTTAAAAATAATTGGACTATCTGAAAGCCATGATCAAAAAAAGAGCCTAGACATCATCTTTCAAGAAATGATCAAGGAAAACTGTCCTGATATTTTAGAACCAGAGGGCAAAATAGAAATTGAAAGAATCCACTGATCTCCTCCTGAAAGAGATTCCTAAAGGAAAACTCCTAGGAATATTGTAGCCAAATTCCAGAGTTCCCAGGTCAAGGAGAAAATATTACAAGCAGCCAGAAAGAAACAATTCAAGTGTGGTGGAAACACAATCAGGATAACACAAGATTTAGCTGCTTCTACATTAAGGGACCGCAGGGCATGGAATATAATATTCTGGAGAGCAAAGGAGACAGGATTACAACCAAGAATCACCTACCCAGCCAAACTAAGTATAATCCCTCAGGGGAAAAAATGGTCATTCAGTGAAATGGAGGACATTCAAGCATTCTTGATGAAAAGACCAGAGTTGAATAGAAAATTTGATTTTCAAATACAAGACTCGAGTGGAACATGAAGAAGTAAACAGGAAAGAGAAAATCATAAGAGACTTATTAAGGTTGAACTTACATTCAGGTTACATAAGGTTTACATTCCTGCATGGAAAGATACTTGTAACTCATGAGACCTTTGTCAGTATTAGGGTAGTTGGAGGGGAAAAAATTATATGTATGTATGTATATATAGATATAGATAGATAGATAGATAGATAGAGGGCACAGGGTGCGTTGAAAATGAAGGGGTCATGTCTGGAGAATAAAATTAAGGGGTGAGAGAGAAATATACTAGAAGAAGGAGGAAGGGAGAGGTAGAACGGGGTAAATTATCCCACAAAAAAAAAAAAAAACAGAAAAGAAAATGTTCTTACAGTGGAGGGGAAACGGGAAGGTGAGAGGGAATGAGTGAATCTTATTGTCATAGGATTTGACTTAAGGAGGGAATAACATACACACTCAATTGGGTGTGGAAATCTGTCTTACCCTACAGGAATTTAGGGGGTGAAGGGGACAAGAGAGTAGGGGAAGGATAGAGAGGAGGGCAGATTGGAAAAGGGAGTAATCAGAAGCAAATACTTCTGAGGAGGGACAGGGTCAAAAGAAAGAATAGAATAAATGGGGGAGCAGGATAGGATTAAGGGAAATAGAGTTAGTTTTTCACAGCATGTCTACTATGGAAGTGTTTTGCATAGCTACACATATATAACCTGTATTTAGTAGCTTGCCTTATCAATGAGGGTGGGTGGGGAGGGAAGAAGGAAGAAAATTTGGAACCCAAAGTTTTAAAAACTCATGTTTAAAAAAAAATGTTTCCACATGCAACAGGGAAATAAGAAATACAGGAAATGGGGTACAGAAATCCATCCTGCCCTACAGGAAAATTGAAGGGAAAGGGGATAAAAGAAGGGGGGGAGAGATAGAAGGGAAGGTAGACTAGGGGAAGGGGTATTTAGAATGCATTCCATTGGGGTGGGGGAAGGGGGGAGATGGGGTGAAAATTTGGAACTCAGAATCTTGTGGAAGTAAATGTTGAAAACAAAAAAATAAGTAAAAATTACCATTAAAAAAAAATAAGAACAAAAACAAAAAAAATCACTTTTTACACAATTAAAGTCAGTTGTAAATAATTGGAAAAGCATGAGTTGCTACCTGGTAGGCCAAGCTAATATAATAAAAATTACAATGCTACCTAAATTAATTTACTCATTCAGTGCCATACCAATCAAACTACGGAAAAATTACTTTATAGAACTAGAAAAAATAATAACAAGATTCATCTGGAAGAACAAAAGGTCCAGAATATCAAGGGAACTAATGAAAAGAAATGCTAGGGAAGGTGACCTAGTCATACCAGATCTTAAATTGCATTATGAAGTAGCAATCATCAGAACTACTTGGTACTGGCTAAGAAACAGAGTGTGGCTCAGTGAAGTAGGTTAGGTACGCAAGACACAGTAGTCAATGACTATAGTAATTTACTGTTTGATAAACCCAAAGACTTCATCTTCTGGGATAAGAACTCACTATTTGACAAAAACTGCTGGGAAAACTGGAAAAGAGTATGGCAGAAACTAGGCATAGACCAACATCTTACACCATGTGCCAAAAAAAAAGTCAAAATGGGTACATGATTTAGATGGATATAAAGGCTGATACTGTCAGCAAACTGGGAGAGCAAGGAATAGTTTACCTGTCAGATTTCTGGAGAACAGAAGAATTTATGACCAAACAAGAGATAGAGAACATTATGAAATAGAAAAAAGATTCTGCACAAAGCCAATGCAACCAAGATGAGGAGGGAAGCAGAAAACTGGGAAAGAATTTTTACAACCAGTGTCTCTCATAAGGGCCTCATTTCTAAAATATAGAGAGAACTAAGTCAAATTTGTAAGAAAACAAGTCATTCCCCAATTGATAAATGGTCAAAGATATAAACAGGCAGTTTTCAGATGAAGAAATGAAAGTTATCTATAGTCATATGAAAAAATATCTAAATCACTGTTGATTAGAGAAATGCAAATCAAAACAACTCTGAGGTACCACATCACACCCATCAGACTGGCTAACATGACAAAACAGGAAAATAATAAATGTTGGAGAAAATGTGGAAAAATTAGAACGCTAATGCATTGTTTGTGGAGTTGTGAACTGATCCAACCATTCTGGAGAGCAATTTGGAACAATGCCCAAAGAACTATAAAAAATGTGTATACTCTTTGACCCAGCAATAGCACTTCTAGGGCTGTATCCCAAAGAGATCATAAAAGTGATCTCTTTTCCCATAAAAATGGGAAAAGGACCCACATGTACAAAAATATTTAAAGCAGCTCTTTCTGTGGAGGCAAAGAATTGGAAATTGAGTGGATGCCTATCAATTGGGGAATGGCTGAACAAATTGTGTTATATGAATATAATGGAATACTCTTGTGCTATAAGAAATGATGAGCAGGCAGACTTCAGAAAAACCTGGAAAGACTTGTATTGACTGATGCTAAGTGAAGTAAGCAGGAGAACATTGTACATAGTAACAGCCACATTATGTGATGACTAACTTTGATAGATTTAGCTCTTCTCAGCAATGCAAGGATCTAAGATATCTCCAAAAGACTCGTGATGTAAAATGCTATTCACATCCAGAGAAAGAACTATGGAGTCTGAATGCAGATCCAAAGCATACTATTTACTACTCTTTTCTTTTTCTTCTGTATTGTTTTGTTTCCTCTTTCTTGTGGTTCCTTCTGTTGGTTCTAATTCTTCTTTACAACATGACTAATGTGAAAATATGTTTATTAGGAATATATATGTAGTGCTTATATCACATTGCATGTTGTCTTGGGGAGGGAGGGGGAGAAAATTTAAAATTCAAAAGTATGGAAGTGAATGTTGAAAAATAAAAATTAATTATTTTAAAAATAATATTTGAAGTTATTTTCACAGTCTGCAACACAATTATTTGCTATTTAAGTGATTTTCCATTGTAACTTGTGAACCATCTGACAAATGACAAAGTGAAACATTTCAGAAGGACTAAAACATTCAGTTATAGTATAAGTACAAGGAGTAGGGCAGCTAGGTGGCACAGTGGAGTACTGGGCCTGAAGTCACATCTGCTCACACATACAAGCTGTGTGAGCCTGGGCAAGTCACTTAACCCTATTTGTCTCAGTTCCTCATCTGTAAAATGAGCTGGAGAAGGAAATGGCAAACCACTCTAGTATCTACCCAGAAAACCCCAAATGGGCTCACTAAGAGTTGGACATAACTGAAACAACTAAACAACAACAAAATGAATGCAAGAAAGCTACAACTGGCTTTATCATTTAATTTATTTAGTAAGTTCTTTAGACTTCTCCCTTTGGAAGAACATTTTTAACTGTTTTTGTGTTCAGATTATTGTACTATTAACAATTCTACCTTTTCAAAAAATGCATCACAACATGGTGTATTGACTGCTGTGGTGCAAATTGAAGAATTTATAGTGCAGTTATTTAAAATCACTCCAAGTGTAGGGAAAAGAAGATTTTTATTTCTCCCCAAAGGATAAGAGGATATAACGGATACATCATGCTCTTACAAGGAACCTAATCAGCCCTAGTAAAGTATTTAAAAAATATTACCAATTTTAGTTTCCATGTTTGCTTAAGGATTATTTATGTATAATTTTGTTAATTATTGATATATCTGAGATCTAATTTTCACCCTGAAAAATTCAAAATATAATGATGTAGCAGCTTTTGGCTGAAAGATAAGAACATTGTCTTTAAAATGCCCTGGTAGTCAGGTGGGTAAGAAAAAAAATACTTTTCTCTCATTCGTTACTTCTGACTATTTACATTAGTATTGTATATGTTTGTTTTCTAGATATGGAAGCCATCCAGCTTTTTACAGATATAAGACCAACACTGGCAGAGTCTTGCCCATGTTTTATGTGTATGATTCTTACCTCACAAAGCCAGAAACCTGGGCCAATCTTCTAACTGCCTCAGGGCCCCTGAGTATTCGTAACACTCCCTATGATGGATTGTTTATTGCTCTTCTTGTAGAAGAAAAACACAAACAGGAAATCCAGAGAAGTGGTTTTGATGGAATTTACACATACTTTGCCACAAATGGCTTCTCTTATGGCTCATCACATCACAACTGGGCAGGCCTAAAAGCCTTTTGTGACAGCAACAGCTTACTGTTTATCCCAAGTGTGGGGCCAGGATACATAGACACCAATGTCCGACCCTGGAACAACCACAACACTCGGAACCGAGTCAATGGAAAGTACTTTGAAACTGCTTTCAATGCTGCTCTTCAGGTGCGTCCTGATGTTATTTCTATCACCTCCTTTAATGAGTGGCACGAAGGGACTCAGATTGAAAAAGCAGTTCCCAAGAGAACTGAACGCATAGTATACCTTGATTACCAGCCTCACAAACCAGGTGTTTATCTGGAACTCACTCGTAAATGGTCTGAAAAATATAGTAAGGAAAAGGAACAGTGGCTTGCGTGAAACGAATCCAATAGCCATTTTAATATACTTAGTCCAAAGTGTACTAATAATTAAAACAGTCCAATGTATCAGATTATGCGTAATATTTTGTCAGAAGAAATCTTTAAGTCAACATGCATTATTCTTGTATCTTTATTAGAATGAATATAGACTTTTGTAAAAGGTTGAAATAGCAATATTGTTATTGTCACCCTCTTGCAGGTTGTATTTTGAAAGTATTTGAAAAGGATGCTGTGTAACTTTTTATATTCTGTAAATTAGATTTAACTAACCTCTGTAAGATAATTTATGAAACACTTATGTACAGTATTAGCATAGTTTATGTCATTTAAGGCTGAAAATGAAATTCAGCTTTTATGACAGTTTAATTTTCTATTTTGTAGCCCATTGTGCAGAAAGTAATTAGCATCTAATTAGAGGCTGCTTGCTTTCTTGACACACAAACCAGTTTTGGTTTATGTGGTAGAAAAAAGCAAGGTACTATAAAAGAATTGTTAATATATATGTGTTTCCTTCTTCAGTTTTGGAAGCCATTTCCCTCCAGTCACTCAGCTAGCTAACTTCATACCTTCTTAAGAATTGAGGCTATTGGTTACTGGAACCAAAAATAGCAAAAAAATTTCTATAAGATACAACACACACATAATCTATGCCTTAAGTTAGCATTACTAAATCATTGTTAAAGATAAAGGGCCGTTTCTGCATAGTTCTATGTATATTGTCATCTTGCTATTTTCTAAGTACCTATACTATGCTGTATGCTATGCAAGTCACAAATTCCTTCTCTGTGTCAGAAGAGGTTTTTTTGGGGGTCTTTAATATCCTGAATTTTAGGTATAAAATGATTTGTAAAATACCATATACAAGTTCATCTCTGTCATATATACATATATGTGTATATATGCATGTAGATCTATTTTTGAAGCTGTTTAAATAGTACGAAATCATTTTTTTCCTAGACTGTGGTATCTATCATGTTTTATTATTCTTGTTCCTTAGGATTGTTAAAGTGATTATTGTTGGATTGAATTCAGCAATGAGATTTTAAATTAGTGTGAATGTAAGACATCTTTTTTCCCACATATCTAGTTCATGTAAAACTTGAGTATAGGCTGTAGTCAGTATTTATGTATGTATTATTTTATTTTCAATTCTAATTTTAAAGGAACGGTCCATTTTAGGAAATGGTCTATATACAGATTGATATGATACTGTATAAAATTATTTAAATGTACATAGGGAAAACTGAGTAAAGAATTTGGGTTAATTTTATTTTGACAATTTAACTTTTACTCAAATTTAGTTTTATTGTGGTAAGAACAAGAATAGTGTTAATTCTTTTAATATATAGAAATATATCTGTAATTTAGTACTTGGCACTTTCATAGCACCTTTATTCTGAGAATTAAAACACTTCAGTATGGAGATCTATGGTTATTAACAGTAGATGTTTGCTATTTAAGAATAACCTCTTGTCAGATATTCATCACTCATAATATTGAAATCCATCTATTAACTTAACCACCAAAAAACCAGGATGTCAAAATGCAACCTTAACTAGTACTGTAAATTATGTACTTGTAACCACAGTCAGCAAAATATACTGAATCCGCTGTTAGAACAATACAGTTAAAGTTAAATAGAGAATCTCACATAGGGGATAAGAGATGAGAATCAAATATAATAGATCATAGAGAGTATCAATAACAATAAACAATAGATCATAGAGAGTATCAGTATTTGTCTTTGAAAAGAAGTCAGAAATACACTTTCAGATACAGAGGCAAACACATCATGAGCCTCAAGGTAACTTGTCCTTGATTTATCTGGGCATGTAGAGCAGGCGGTAATGAAACAGAGGTTATCACAGATAATTGAAAAATCAACAACAGTATAATCTAGTCTAATCACTTTAACATGTTTCGTCAATATATAGGGATATATCCAGCGCCTTCATCACACCAGAAAGAAATAATAGATTGTTATATAAATTAGAACAACATAGTAATTGTAGCAATAATAAAGATGATAGCTGATATTATTCTAATGCTTTACAGTTTGCAGAGCACTTTACATACTTTATTCATTTTATCCTCACAAAGGTCTGTGAAGTAGGGAGTACAAGTGTTATTATCCCCATCTTATAGCTCAGAAACAGAGATTCAGAGAAATTAATTGGCTTGATCTTACATTTTATCACTCCAAATCTAACAATCCTGTCACTGTACCACTGTGCCTCCAAATAAAGCAAAACTTTCAATTAAATGAAATTATTTTATGAATTCCATCTTTCGGAGAAAGAAATTACTCCAACCCCACCCTCCCAAAAAAGTTACTCCAAATTCAAATTGTGTATTAATTTTTTAAAGTTATTTGCAGGTTATCAATATGGGTTTAATTTATTCTATATTCTTTATACAACTGTGAGGCCATGCATTAAATTGTTATATTCTGAATGACAGTCAATCTTCAATTTTCACAGGGGTGGCATTCCTAGAAAATGACATGAAAGTCAAAAATGCAAATGTTGACACATTGAACCTAAGGCAAATAGGGGATTGGGTTCTCACAACCACCAAAAACTCTAATCTTTCACCAGAGATTGCTGAAAATACACTTTTCTGCATACAATTATTTATTTATTTATTTATTGGCTGGGCAGTGGGGTTAAGTGACTTGCCCAGGGTCACACAGCTAGTAAGTGTCATGTGTCTGAGACCCGATTTGAACTCAGGTCTTCCTGACTCCAGAGCCGGTGCTCTATCCCCTGCACCACCTAGCTGCCCCCATACAATTCTTTGTAACAAAACATTAATTCTCATAATATGCACTTTTCCTAACACAGTAACCATGAAATAACCCATAAAATGAGGTACGAAACAAAATTGTAATATGCAAAACATTTTTCTCACTAGTAATTCCCTAGAATTCTGTTACCTTTTGCACTAACATCTCAATTTGAAAACAAACATTGATTTCAGACAGCATTTACTTCTTATACCACCTGAAGTCTACAGTACTATAAATACTGTACAGCAAACACAGTTCTTAAAACTAAAACATTTTTTAATCTGAACTTTGCCTTCTATTGTGTCAGGTGGCAGTGGGAGGGTGTTGGATGGTATACTACTTTTTTCCTTTGTTTGGGTGTAATGAATTGTTGATTCATTAACACCAAATTCACAGCCAACATTCTGGGACAAAGTTTACCTAATGCTTTTATTTTTTCACTAACAAAATTACAGGCTTGGGCTTTAGAGTCCAATGGATATGCTCCACGCTTTGGAGGCAAAATTAAAACACAAAACTTGAATTTTAAAGGCAGACAATGAAATATGCAACAAATGCACAGAGAGCTGTTTTCAATAGTAGTGTGAACAAAACCAGGGAAGCTCCTAATAGGATACCAGCAGCTCCACAAACTTGCATGCGTTGTACATCTCATTTTTTTTTCCACTACACATAGCTGTTAATGTGTGTGGTTGCCAATGCAAAAGTGAAAATGGAATTATAATAAAATCACACAAATGTTTGAAGACATGAAAGTTAAACCCACAAATGTTGAGGATTGACTGTGTAACCTTGAAGCAGGGCAGGTTTCTCAGTCAACAAAGAAAGTTTCAGAGTGTTTCTTTAATTTTGTTTACTAAGGCAGAGTTAGGGAATAATTTTTTTTAAGTTTTCAATAAACAGGGTTGAAACAAAAAGGGGTTTCAAAAGAAGCCAGTTAAATAGAACATCCCATTCCACCCAGCACTTCCACTAAGACAGTTTATCGTAAACTATTATAATATTGAAATAATTATGTATTAAATAAACCCATTTGTTTAATCTATTAAAAAAACCTATTTCAGTGACATTTTAAAAATTCAGTGGAGCCAGTATAATACTTGAAAATTAGGAAACAGTGTAGGCTAAAGAGAGTCAATGATAAAGAGCCTGGAGACATGGTTCTAGGTCCTAGCACTTCCACTGACTGTGACGTTAGACAAGTCCCCCCTTACTTTTCTGACCTCTGTTTGCTTATTTACAAAAAGGAGTTCAACTATATGATCTAGTTTCAAATCTAAAATTCTGTGTTTTTAACCCTACCATTTGTTTGCCATTTCTGGAAAAAGAAATATTTGCTATTGACTCTGTGTATAATACAAATATATATTTCATATTTGGAAGATGCCTTAATACTTTCACATTGCAGCTTCTGCTCTGTAACACTTTGTGTCATTTCAGTTTTGTTTCTAAATTATTGTAGTAGCTTAGCACAGGGGTTTTCACACTTTTTAAAATTATGAAACATTTATTTTTGTTCCAATATTTCCATGGATGTATAACTTCATCATTATTGGTCCCTCCTGTTCCCATATAAATCACAACCCCATTCTAAGACTCAGAAGTTAAATGGTCTTAAAGAGATGTGATGATTGAAATCCCATTACCCCATGGCCAACCCGGTGATACTTTCTATACTAGAAGTCCTCTGTATTTGGAAAGACCCGCCACATTTTGTGGACATGGGAATGGATAGGGCTTTATATTCACATAAGAAGAATTTATAAACCTTGTTAAAGAGGTAAAGTTTTAATGGCAAAAATTGTGCAAAATTTATGGTAAATAACACTCAGCAATCCACAGAAGGATCATTCTAGAATAATAAATATATATGTGTGTGTGTGTGTATGTGTGTATTCATACAGTAGGATTGAAGGCAAAGGTTGTAGGGACATTGTACATTTTCTTTTTATGTTCGTTATCTGGGTCACAGTAACACAAACATAATAAATTATTTTGCTTATACGTAGTAACAAGTATCATCCTCTTCACTTTCTGCTGTAGTTCTTAGTTGCACTTGTGAACAAGGACACTACTATTATTTAAAGCTGAGGAAATAACTTAGAGATGGAAGGGGGTAAGGGGAGCAGGGAAGACCTCCGTCCAGAAACCATAGCCTTACTTTTAAAGTAAGGGGAAGGGCAGAAGAGGGGAGTACTAGTAATTTCTCGTGAAAAAAAAAAAATCTGAAGCCTAGTTTCATTTTGCACAATATAGTCCCATGCTAACTTGTGCAAAGCACTAGGTAAAGCAGGGTTTTTCAAATTCTTTAGTCACAGTCACCTCTATTTTCTTAGTCTTCTCTAAGATTTTTAAGTGATAAGCTAGTGAGAAATGAAAAAGAATATTTTCTGGTAAGCCATTTACCTAAAGTAAAACAGTACTGTAGAGTTTCATAACCTTGAAAGTATGCCAGATTATTTTTAATATAAACTTGTTTGTAGTAGAATTTGCCACTTGCCTAAAGATAATTAGGCTCCCACAGAATCCTTACTGTTCACAGTCCTATTGTGATCCAGTTGTCACCATGCTGATGACTTGGTATGGCTAAATACTCTTAAGAGAATCAAGTAAATGAGAATTTCATTGTTTTGTTCCCCCTCCAAAAAAATAAAATTCTTAAATTATAAGATGATGAATTTAGAGCTAGAAGGAACATTAGAGATTATCTCGGCTAACCTCTCGTCTTATAGGTGAGGAAACTGAGGCCAGGAGAGAATAAATTATTTATCCAAGGTGACACAATAGGTAATAAGTGACAGAAATATGGTTCGAATCCAGTTTCTCTTATTTCATATCCAGTTCTTTTTCCATTGTATCACATACTGCCTATCAAATCAACAGATTAACCCTCATAGGTAGTTGAAGGGATACCATCTAGCTATTACTTTATTCCTTTAATCAGCAAATATTTTTTCCAGCTCCTACTATGTGAGAGGCCCTGTGCTGGATGCTGTGTGAAGCACAAAGAATAAATTGTAACTGTAGTAGCAAGTAGAATATAAGAGAATTAAAAAGTACTGTGGGAGCTGAAGAGAAGAAGATAACTTCCATCTACAGAATAATATGGTCACATCTGTTCATCTTTGATTGGATTTATTAAAGTAGCTACTACCAATATTGATCATTGCTGAAATAACCATTGGAACTCTGACAGATAATAATTGTTTTATGAAATGCTCTGAGCTTTAATGAAAGTTATTCTTCAAGGGAACTAATGATCGGACTCTGAATTGGTACCAGTTTAATAGTTTATATTTCCTTTGAAGTCAGTAAGTACTTCCTTCTTAGAGATTTTAGAGAATATTTTCTCCCAAGTCATGTTTCGTTGATTCTTAGGAAATTAAGTTTATAAACTATTTCTCAGGTATTCTCTGCAGCATGCTTTTCAAATGACATGGTTTCAAGATTTCTTGTATGACACATGAATAGGATAATGAAATTAACTTCATTTATTTAAATTCATTAGATTAGCTTTTAATACAAAATAGTAGATTAACATAATAATTAGTCTAGTACATGGGCTATGATAGCACCCCTAGTAACTATTTATGTTTTTAACATGTTGGGTTTTCTACTGTGGATAACTTGCTGGTATAGCAGACAATGTTTACTAATCCCTTTAAGATAACTTTGGAATCTACTGTAACCACTATGTCTTAGATCCTTTAAAATAGAGCTTTAAAAAAGAGTTGATGTTTATGTGTAATGTGAATTTCAATGTATAGATGAACTAGTTTATTATATAATTTTTTTATCTTACAGTACAGGGCGTATTGTACTTATGAGATATGAGATACTATTTTTAATATACAAGTTTCTTTTTGATTGGTGATTAATTACTAAGGAGTAACAGCATATACCTTTTAATATACTCTCCTTACCTAAATATGCAAATATTGACAGGCATATCAAGTTTCACTGCGCACAATTATTTTATCATTAGTTGTTTAGAAAAAAAATTAATGTCTACAACTTTTATTTTTTAATTTCTGTTGATAAACTTTATCAATCCAGTAGAACTGAAGTTTTTTCAGAATTTGACATTTCACAGCAAGCTGACTTGTAATAAGCCATCTTAAATGCTAAGCAAATCCTTTACCATGCACTTTCTCAACAAGTCTGGTCCATTCTACTAAGCATATATACTAGTCCTTATTCCTCTAGAACTTACAAACACATTCCTGCACTGGTGATTCCACTTCCAATATTTCAATTCAGATTAAATGGCACTCCCATGTTAGAAGAGTAATGTATCGATTTAAACCAGCACATTTCTATCATTTTCCCAGTAGTTATAATGAAAAACTTAGCTTCTTCCCACTTTAAGATCTTTTAGGTATCAGTAACTCTGTATTAAAAAAAAAATGTGATCAAAAGAAAATAAGGTAATACACACCTTGTTATATATCAGTGATTTCACCTAAATGTTAGGGAGTTT